GTGGGACACTCTTGTGGGACACTCTTGTGGGACACTCTTGTGGGACATTCTTGTGGGACACTCTTGTGGGACACTCTTGTACGAAACTCTTATGGGACACTCTTGTAGGACCCTCTTGTGGGACACTCTTCTCGGACACTCTTGTGGAACACTCTTCTGGGACACTCTTGTAGGACCACTCTTGTGGGACACTCTTGTGGCTGTGGGACACTCTTAGTAGGACACTCTTGTGGGACACTCTTGTGGCACACTAGAAGCAGTCCTGCAAGCGTTTCGTACGAGACTTCCTCCAAAAGTCACGCTTCGAGGCTGCGCAAGACGAGCGTTTCGTTCGAGACTTTCTCCAAAAGTCACGCGTCAAGTCTCCAAAACGAGCGCTTCGTACGAGACTTCCTCCAAAAGTCACACGTCAAGTCTCCAAAACGAGCGTTTCGTACGAGACTTCCTCCAAAAGTCACGTGTCAAGTCTCCAAAACGAGCGTTTCGTACGAGACTTCCTCCAAAACTCACATGTCAAAGTCTGCAAAACGAGGATTTCGTACGAGACTTCCTCCAAAAGTCAAGCGGAAACACCCATCGGAGCACACACATCACGCAGCCCTGCCAAGCAGTTTCGCGAGTCCAGCCCCTCCAAACAATACCCCCTCACACGCCAATCCCAATGTGACAGCGACATTCACCTCTACCACAACTCACGACCTCACGATTCCCTGCGCCTGCCACGAATCTTTCCGCATCCACACGTCTAACGCGCACAAAGTACTGCGCCTGCCACGAAATGTCACCTCCGTCACACCTCGCAACCTCACGATTTCCTGCGCCTGCCACGAAAATCGCACTTCCACACCTCAAAATCAGCACAAAGTACTGTGCCTGCCACGAAAAGTGGGAATATCATCTCACGTGAGCTTCAACAAAATTTGCACCACACCACACGTTTAGAATGATTTCGACCCGTTCTGAGCACACTCCCATCCACCAAAATCGCCATTTCAGCTGAGACTTGTCACGAAAACAGAGCTTCGATGCCACACCCTGAAAAGCAAATCCCAATGGCACGGCCACATCCAACACCCCAAAAACACGACTCTCCAAACGCTAATCCCAATGGAACTGCGCAGTAAACTGCGGATCTCTCAAACCACTGCGCCTGTGCAGCGAATTGCATCACGCTTCTTGCGCGACATGTCATTTTCATGCAAATCACAATGGAATAGCGTCGCAAACTGACACGTGACACATCCATGAAAAGTCACTTGCAAAAGCTTCCCCCAATGGCAGCGCCTTAGCGTCCTACTGCGGACGGTTGCGAACGGTTGCGAACATAGAAGCAACGGGTCGCGAACAAGGCTCTACCCCCAGACCCCCAAGAGTTAAACGAGAACCCTTCGCTACGCATTCGGGAAAAAGGTAAGAAGCCAATTAACACTGACATATTTAAACAATTTTTGCACATATGCTATGTTGCGCATGACTTCAAACACATTCCCACTGAGTCCCACTGTTCATGCACAAACTTCCCTTCCCAAATTGGCAAGATGTTCTTGCTACGTGCAGCCTGTGACAAACAAGATGGAACCCACGAACCCGAATGCAAACACGATCGAAAAAATAATATGTCCAAATGACACTCTTGTAGGACACTCTTGTAGGACACTCTTGTCGGAAACTCTTGTGGGACACTCTTGTAGGACACTCTTGTGGGACACTCTTGTAGCACACTCTTGTGGGACACTCTT